CATTAATCCAAGTGTCTGATTCCAGAATCTGAATCCATCTTCAATCCCCAACCCTATTCCTGACCTGATATTGTAGGATTCTTCAGCAGAAATGGAGGAAGAAGTTTCTCTGTTCAGCTCAAATGCTGAAACTGTACAGTGTGTCCCGCTTAATGTCACTGTAACTGAGCCAATACACTCCAACATTTACAGAGGAGATTCATTTCACACTCAATGATTTGCTCTTCATAGACATGACTGTAATACTCTACAAGCTGTATCTTCTGTCTGTCCTCACCCCATAACCCTCACAGAAAACTGAAGCTGATCACAAAAGAGCTTTCTAGTGTCTTTTTAAAGCCATTTAGTGTAAAAGTAAAAGGCCAGTGCTGCTCCACATACTTGAGTTTGTCCAGTGTGTAGTTTGGATCCTCCAGTTGTTCAGAGAGCAGCTTGACTCCTGAATCTCCTGGATGATTGTAGCTCAGATCCAGCTCTCTCAGGTGTGAGGGGTTTGAAGTCAGAGCTGAAGACAGAAAACCACAGCCTTCCTCTGTCACCATACAGCCAGACAATCTACAAACACAGCAATAGTCCACATCACACAGTTGGACAATCACACATCACGCCATTGCCAGCCTGCACACACACATTATCGTGTGTGTTAAATGCAAAAGTACCACAAGCCTGCGTTTGAGTAAAGATCCCGGTCGTTAGATCCCACCCTGTGGGCTGGCTGTCTCTTCCGTGTTAATGAATGAGACTTTAGCCCAAATAATCCAGAGTAGTCCCGAAAGATGGTTTTGATCAATTAAAGCACTGATTATCGTGCTGATATAGGTGCAGATCTTTAATTTTGTAAAGAGTTTGTTTTTAGCAGTAATTTAATGCTGGGAATTTCATCGTTTATTGTTTACTGATACACGCCTAACCACCCAGATAGCAAAATACACTCGGGCCAGTTCCGGCTAGATTCTCGCCTGCCAGATACTTACCTCGACTCTGACAGTAGTCTACTTTGCTGCCCGAGTCAATCGGGTCCAGATGCGGTGGCCGTTAGCGAGCCGACACTGCCGTATCCGAGCCAGAATTGGCCTGTGATTATGTGCGCTGCGGCCCGAAGCTGGCGCAACTGAATCTTCATTTTATAAAACCTCACCTTTATTACCATTATTACAACCATTTGAGTTGATATAACAGCAAACTCAGGCTACTATGTAAACGCAAAGTGTAGGCATTGAGCTTGACCTTTGAATTAAATGCAAACAGCGCCTACACACACACACACATACATATATATATATATATATATATATATATATATATATATATATATATATATATATATATATATATATATATATATATATATATATATATATATATATATATATATTAGTGCTGTCAATCAATTAAAAAAATTAACTAATTAATCACACTTTTTAAAAATGTAATCACGATTAATCGCATTTAAATAACTGAAACTTGTAATTTTGGCCATTCAAATCTAAAATTAATGTAAACGCAAGACAAAAAATATTTAAATTCAAAATATAATTGTTTAATAGAACTTTTGTTTAACTTGTGACAGATTTCTTCATGTAAAGAACATACCCACAATAAACCATCAAGATCATGGCTTGACAGCCATATTTATTACAGAAATGTCACATGCCATATTTATTACTGGTGCAATGTCAATTCTGTCTCTGTCAAGGACAGAGTATCAGTATTTTAAATGGGATTAATCGCAATTAATATTTTTTTAAAGTGCGATTAATTAGTTAAATTTTTTTATTGATTGACAGCACTAGTTAGAATCCTTGTGAAATACAGCCATACTTTAGAACGCTTAGTTTAAGCAAATTTGATGAACGCTGCGATCATGCGTGTTGAATCTGAAGGGAGTCGCTTTGCCTGCCCTGTCCTGCACGCGATGTATGCGTCTGTCTGTGTGTCTGTGCGCACACACGCATGTGTTTCTTAGCAACAAACCTGCATAAACGTCTGTAGCAACTAAATCAAAAAGATTGCGTTGCATTGCACTTTCAGCTCACAACATACAAAAGAAAAGGTCCACATTGTATATATGTGGCCTGCGGCCTCGTGCCATCGCACGCCTCCCACCAGTGCCGATATACAGCCATATCGCCATGCTACGAGTGTGATATTGCTTATATATATAAATATAAATATACTAGTGCTGTCTATCGATTAAATAAACTAACTAATCAATCACACTTTTTAATCACATTAAAAGACTGAAATTTGTAATTTTGGCTATTCAAATGTAAAATTAATGTTAACGCAAGACAAAAACTATTTTCAATTCAAAATATAATTGTTTATTAGAATTTTTGTTCAACTTGTAACAGATTTCTTCCTGTAAACAACATACCCACAATAAACCATCAAGATCCTGGCTTGACAGCCATACTTATTACAGAAATAAAAACACAGGCATGTTAATGACATTTGAATTTCAAAACAATCAATGCCAATAAAGAAAAAAATGATTTCCAAGTTGGATTCTAAGTGGACTGAAATAAAAAACCAAAATACAGGCATTACAGATATGGAAAACTATAATAACAAAGTATTGAATACAAACAATTGCACTCATTGTAAAGTTGTATTGCTGTGAGTTGAGAATGTTTAAGTAGAAACAATTTTGCTTAGTCCTAATTTACATTCAGACATTTGCTAAAACAATCCAGTATGGTGACATTATCGGGGGAGAATGTGGACCTTTTCTTTTGCATGTTGTGAGCTGAAAGTGCAATGCAACCCAAACTTTTTGATTTAGTTGATACAGACAATTATGCAGGTTTGTTGCTAAGAAACACGCGTGTGTGCGCACAGAAACGCGTGCACACACACACCGCGCGCAGGACAGGGCAGGCAAAGCGACTCCCTTCAGATTCAACACGCATGATCGCAGCGTTCATCAAATTTGCTAAAACTAAGCGTTCTAAAGTATGGCTGTATTTCACAAGGATTCTAACTAGTGCTGTCAATCAATAAAAAAAATGTAACTAATTAATCGCACTTTTAAAAAATATTAATCGCGATTAATCACATTTAAAATACTGAAACATGTCATTTTGGCTATTCAACTGTAAAATTTATGTAAACGCTAGACAAAATTTATTGAAATTCGAAATATAATTGTTTATTCAATTTTTTGTTGCACAGAGACTCAATAAAATCATATTATGGTTTGAGGTTCCTAAAGGTGGCTTATTTAAAGATTTGTATGCCCCTTTAATCGGCCCAAAGCATAAGTCCAAAATTTTATCCTTGCGCGTTTACGGGCAAGTTACATACTGGTTGAAGTGGCTCAGCGATTTCTCCAATCTACAATTATTAAAATCTCTAAGGATAAAACTAGGTGCATCAGGAGACACAGACTGTAGTTTGTACAAAACGCATTCTATCTCCTTTTGCCGCACTATCCTCATTTGCACGAGGGTGGATGTAAACAACTGTGACAAACAACTGTGGGAACTCGCGAGGGAAATACTGAGGTCGCAATGCCACAGACAACGGTTCAATAGTGTGTGTGTGTGTGTGTGTGTGTGTGTATGTGTTTTTACAAGAAACTGCAAACTGAACAAAAAGCAGAGCATGTCTAAACTTTACCAGGGCACAAAAATATAAATATAATAATATAAAATATGAATAAATAATCCTCAAAATAAACTGATTCCTTTAACTTTAAGTCATATTTGGGTATATTGAAAAAAGAGAAGCTCTGAAAAGTGCAACATTACGGTTTACTCAGTAATGCTTTTAAATTTATTTTTATAAACCTACATTAGTATAGTTACAATTGAAATCACATCCCTGTAAGTGTAAACGGGGCTCCATATTCGGTAACCCAATATGAAACTGTATCTGTTTAGTGTAATATAATTTACCTCAGTGTCTCCAGTTTACAGTTTGGACTCTTCAGTCCATCAGATAGAAGCTTCACTCCTGAATCCTGCAGGTCATTGTTACTCAGGTCCAGCTCTCTCAGCACACAGTTTGAGGATTGTAGAGCTGAAGACAAACTCTCACAGGACTGAACAGTGAGATTACACATGACCAATCTGAGAAAGAAGAACACAGATTACATTAACAGTGTGATTTTAGTAATTCATCTGATGTAAAAAACTAACTATGAGGTTAATAATATGACAAAACTATTTGATTTTGTGCTATTTAGAATGATTGATATTGTTATTTAATAAAACTGAATATTAAATGCCAACTAATATATTCTTTAATATTTTGAAATGTTAAGAAAACTGCTAAATGTCAGCTTAGACACAAGGACCATGAGGCTTTTTATATTTATGTACATGCAAAATGCAAATGATCAGAGCCTGTCAAACCTGCTGCAGGGTCCAGACACCTCCTCAGACATTATCCACATTGCTTCTGTTGTTTCTGTTTTTTGGTCAGAATGACCAAAACATCTGACAAAATACTGAATATATCTTTCCAATAAACCAATCCAAAGATAAACTATAAATTTGTTTAAATAAAATATAAATAAAGATTTCAGATGTAATTAATTAAAATTATCTTTAACATAAACTGATTTCCTGAACTGTATTAGAAAAACTTTAATTTGAGAAGCAGCATTTTGCAGTTTATCCACTAATGCTCTTAAATATATCTGGACATTTCCATCTAAATCAAAACACTTTTTGTTGCTGTTGAGTGTAAAATCATTTACCTCAGTGTGTTCAGTTTACAGTGTTGACTCTTCAGTCCATCAGAGAGAAGCTTCACTCCTGAATCCTGCAGGTCATTGTTACTCAGGTCCAGCTCTCTCAGGACACAGTTTGAGGATTGTAGAGCTGAATACAAACTCTCACAATTCTGAACAGTGAGTTTACACATCACCAGTCTGAAAATAATAATAATAATAAAAATTACACTTAATTTTTTTTGTAATTTGTTTAATGTAATAAATAATTACAATCAATCAATCAAGTGTTTGAACTCAGACCTCAGTGTCTCCAGTTTACAGTTCACAGTCTTCAGTCCATCAGAGAGCTTCTTCACTCCTGAATCCAGCAGGTCATTGTTACTCAGGTCCAGCTCTCTCAGCACACAGTTTGAGGATTGTAGAGCTGAAGACAAACTCTCACAAGACTGAGCGGTGAGATTACAGCACTGTAGTCTGTGTAGAGGACAAAAAGTTCATTGTTTAATTTTGTGTGAGTGTGCATGTAATTATTGAAGTGCCTATTAGGAGTGATTACTTCTCTGAATGTCTTTAATGGTCCTAACAACACACATAGGAGCACTGGAAACACTGAACACAGGGCTCTGGCTTTCACTTTCTGAGTCCAAATAAATACATGATATCAGTGATTTTGATAGAGGGAACTCTCTGCTCAAAGCGTGTAAGTTAAAAAGTGGGTTACACAAGATGGATGCCATGACCCCAGCTATTATGGTGGCCACATCAGGGCCTCCAGCTATTGAGGATCTATGGCCAAAAACCTCTACAAAAAGTGGGCTTCTGCAACATCTAAATCATCATGGAGGGTTTTACCAGCTCCACTAAAGCTCTGTCCTCCAGCTGTTTATCCTTATCTACAGGATCTGCTCAGGTTTACTGTCCAGTAGTCCCTGCCTTGGCTTTGCCCTCCTCCCTGTCCACCTGCCTTATCCTGTACCCTGTCATGGTTTCATTAACCTGCCTCTCGCCCATCACCCTTCTCCACTGTAACACCTCCAGCTGGCTGAACTCATTCTTGTTTAGTTTATTCCTGTGAGAATCATAATCATCATTAGCATTTGCTATTTTCTGACTTCACAATATATAACAAAAAAAGCAAAAATAAGAATAATAAAAGAATCACTAGATTTAAAGAAGAATACAGGAGAGCAACTAACCAGCTTTATAGTAAACACTACTACACTAGTGGACTACTTTAATCAGAAGGCAATGACAGTTTTATCAGGGACACAGATGACTGTCACCTGATCATTATCAGCATAGAGAAGGTCAAAATAGATGGAATGAAGAAAACAACATCAGTGAGATCATTCCACTCTAACCAGAACCGACTCAATTTCCACACACACAAAACTAATACAACACATACAAATTCACAAGTCCAACATGAATCAATGATAATTTCAGCAGAAATTACACTTAAGAGCAATATTATAACTAGTATAAAAAGTTTGCTCATACTTGACTTTACATCTGAAACATGAAATATTCACACTAAATAAACAAAAAATAAAATGCATTACAGCATATGCTCGTTACTTTATCATAATTTTTTTTTTTTTGCACAATGTAAAAGTCATTTGTGGCAGCATTTATTTTAGGTAAACTTTCTTTTATTTTACCTCAGTGTCTCCAGTTTACAGTTTGGACTCTTCAGCCTATCAGAGAGAAGCTTCACTGAATCCTGCAGGTCAATGTTACTCAGGTCCAGCTCTCTCAGCACACAGTTTGAGGATTGTAGAGCTGAAAACAAACTCTCACAATGCTGAACATCGAGATAACTCCACTGTAGCCTGTGTAGAGGACAAAGAACAACAAAATCAGCAGTAAGAAATGAGCAGTGTTGAGTGTTCATGAGTCCAGTCTACAGTGATAAAATCAACACTGGAAATAAACTAATAAGTATACATTGATCAATCAATGAATACTCACAGAGCTCTTCTGCAGTTTCTCACAGCTGGTATCAGTCTCCATCTTCCCATATCTGATGTGTTCAATTTATTAAAGTCTAACTCATCCAGCGGCTCCTCTGACATCTCAATCATGTAGGAGATTGTTGAGCAGTGAGCAAGAGAGAGATACTCCTCTGAGTGTTTGTCTGATTTCACAAACTCCTGAACCTCTCTGGCCAGAGTCTGATCTTTCACCTCCAGCAGACAGAGGAACAGATTGATGGATCTTTCAGCTGAGAGATCCTCATTTGTCTTGATCATGTCTTTAATGTCCTGTGTAATTATCCTGATGCTCTCTGAGCTCTCCTCTGTGTGTGTCAGCAGATCCTGGAAGAGTCTCTGATTAGACTCCAGTGAGACGCCCAGCAGGAACCACAGGAACAGATCCAGATGACCATTACTACTCCTGACAGCTTTATATGATGCTAAACTGAGCAGATCATACAGAGAGATCTCAGAGCTGGACTGTAAAAATTGAACATCTTCATATTCATTACCATCTGACACATCTTCATCATCTGAATATTTACTCTCATAAAGCAACATCAGTGGTTCTCTTTTATCTGTTAAATAGCAGTGAAACACAAAGAAAGCAGCCAGAAACTCCTGAAAGCTGAGATGGATGAAGCTGTAGACTTTCCTCTGATGAATCACAGATTCCTCCTTAAAGATCTCAGAAAAGATCCCAGAACACACTGAGGCGTCAGTGACATCTATGCCGCTCTCAATCAGGTCCTCCTCATAGAACATCACATTGCCCTTCATCAGCTGTCTGAAAGCCACTTCAGCAAGTTTGAGGATCTCTCCTCTGTTGGACTGCAGGAGTTTCTCTGGATCTCTCTCTTCATACTTCTGCTTCCTCGTGTTGATCTAAATCAGCAGGAAGTGGATGTACATCTCAGTCAGAGTTTGAGGGATTTCTGCACTCACATCTTCTTCCAGGAGCTTCTGAAGCACAGTGGTGGAGATCCAGCAGAAGACGGGTATGTGGCACATGATCTGGAGGCTTCTTGCTCTTCTGATGTGGGAGATGATTCTGCTGGCTTGATGCTCGTCGCTGATTCTCTTCCTGAAATATTCCTCCTTCTGAGGCTCAGTGAATCCCTGAATCTCTGTCAGACGGTTGATGTATTTGGAGGGGATCTGATGGGCTGCTGCTGGTCTGGAGGTGATCCAGATGAGAGCAGAGGGAAGCAGATCTCCTTTCAGGAGGCTCCACATCAACACAGCCACTGATGAAGATTCAGTCACAGCACAAACTTTCTCCTCATCTGAAAAGTTGAGTGTGATTCTGCTTTCATCCAGACCATCAAAGATGAACACAACTCTACACTGCTCATAAATCTTGGGCTCCAGATCTTCAAGTTCAGGATGAAAGTCCAGCAGAAGTCTGTGAAGACTGTAATGATGATCTCTGATCAAGTTCAGCTCTCGAAATGGAAGCACAAACATGAAATCTACATCCTGATGGTCTTTTCCCTCAGCCCAGTCCAGGATGAACTTCTGCACAGAGTCGGTTTTCCCGATTCCAGCGATGCCTTTAGTGAGAACAGTCTTGATCTGGGCTTTCTCCTTCTTGATCTTCTCCTCATGTCCTGCTTCAGCTGAGGCTTTAAAGATGTCATTGCAGTAGACTGGAGTCTGTTGTGAGGGTTTTGTTCTGACTCTTTTCTCTATCTGTAAAATGTCATGCTCTCTATTCACTCCTTCACTCTCTCCTTCTATGATGTAGAGCTGTGTGTAGATCCTGTTCAGGAGAGTTTGACTGTCTCGATGGTTGACTCCCTCAAATAATCTCTCATACTTGTTCTTCATGCTAGTTTTGTGCTGGTTTTTGGCTCTCTGCAGTTCATCATTTTCTGGTTGGAGTGAATCCTGCTGCAGGTCTCCAGTCTGATCATCTCCATCCACACTGCAGGAACAACAACGACACAAAGAATGAATGAGTATGAGTGTGAAGATCCTTTAGTAAAGCCATGTGTGTTTTCTCTGAAACAGCTTAGACACATTACACAGATTTAATCCAGAAGCAAACTATAGTAATGGAGAAACTGTTCCAGATCAGCAAGAACCGGCCAGTCTTCAAATGTCTCTCATAGCTCTATTGTGAAGCACTTTACACACCACACACTGATCACGTCTAATCCTCAAAACTCTGTAAACATTAACAGTCATTTATTTAATTCAGGATCAGGATTTCAGTAACAACACTGTAACATTGCTCCACTTTATTAATGTAATAAACAGAGAAGATTTAAACACAGTATCATTTAAAACAAGTTTCCTTTTCCATTCACTCTACTAACTCTTATCATTTTGAGTTTCAATACTTTAGTTACTTACTACTACTTCAGTACTTCACTAATGATCAAATGTGAGTGTTACGGTTGCCATATATTTGCAGAATTTTTGCCTTCTGTTTTCTCTCTCTGTTTTGTCTCTCTCGCTTTCTCCCAGCCTGTCATTTCCTTTAGGTCTGCCTTTACGAGAGCTGATTGGTCAGGAGATCAATTGATCATCATTGGGCGCAAGGCGCGGTCATATAAAAGGATGCCAGGAAAAGCAGAGGAAAACGCTTTTCCTTTGATTTTGCTGACATGATTTTGTTTTTTGTTGTTTTTGCTTAACTTTTGTTTCGATAAAATTATTTTGTATTACTTTTGCCCATGTTGGGCTACTTTGTGATATTTGTACATCTTTATTTCGATTGTTTTTGTTTGATACTTTCTGGCCAGCTCTTACCTGACAGTATTGAGAGATTTCAAGTTAACTCATTTCCTCAGAGTAAGGTGGATAGGGAAGATGTTGCACGACTTCAGTTTTGCAAACACGTAGACAATCCATTGTTTAAAACACCAGGTAAGAAGTGATATATATATATATATATATATATATATATATATATATATATATATATATATATATATATATATATATATATATATATATATATATATATATATATATATATATATATATATATATATATATATATATATTCTGACATAAAATATATTTTATATATTAAATCCACAACTAATAGAGAGTAAATATAATATCTTGTAAAAAATAATCATATGAAATGTATTGTGTAGACGAAATACCTCCATGATGCAAACAAATCCAGATCTCCAGAAGTGTGCGTGTCCTTCATGATGGATCTGAAAAGTTTGATCTCCAGCAGAAACTCTAGAGGAAACTGATGAACAATCACAGATCTCCAGTCATTGATCAGCCTTCAAAATTCAGCTAAATGCAGGAATAGATCAGCAGCTGAGACACATCACGAGTAAACAAACAAAATAATCACAGCCATCATCCGTTTGATTAGGATTAAAATATAATTATACATACAGATTCACATAAACCTTATGCCAAGTTCAGACTGTATGATTTTAGTCCCGATTTTGGCTCGCCGACAGGTTTTGAGAAATCGCCGACAAATGCGTGAAATCACAGGCAAATCGCTGCTCGTGCACGTGAGTGACAATCACACAGTATGAACTTTCAAAGACGCGATCTAAGAGAATCGATGAGTCACCGATGCCTGTGAGATATTTGGCGTGCTAAATATCTGGAGCTGTCGGCGATTCAAATCATGCCGTGTGAATTGAGTTTTGACTGAAAATAACATCAGCGATCGCCTACAGCCAATGAGAGAGCAGCTTTCACTTGTGTGTGCGTGTGTGTATACCTGCTGCAGGCCAGCGGGAGGCTGGGGGAGAAGTTAAAAGCGCTCTTTTTCGGTTTATTTGGACCCACAAAATGGAGGAAAAACTAATGGAGGTTTGACAGGACTCAGGAGCAACCGTGTCTGTTTGACGTTTCATACAGAAAGAAATTAGTTTATTATCAACGTTGAGGAGAAATGGCTAATTCCCTTTAAACCCAGGTGAGCAAACATGTGCATGTTCTACCCCATTAAAGGCTTCTTTCTCATTATGTAGTAACAAAATGTATGTATAACAAAAGATATACTACATGTTTTTGGCTGTGAGACATAGTTTGGATGGAGTTGTCGGCGATTCTTCCAATAGTAAAATCTTGCAACGTGAAAGCCCCTGTCGCTGATCCATCTTGCAGTGTAAACAAAGCAGCGACGAAACGCTAGCCCAGATAGTCATGCAGTGTGAAAACATCTGTGACATGACTACTTTGAAAATCATGCAGTCTGATCTCGGCATAACAATCACACAATATGAACTATCAAAGATGCCATCTGAGAGAATCGCTAATGAATCACAGTGAGATATTTGGCATGCTGAATATTTGGAGCTGTCATGCCAGGTGAAATGACTTTCAACTGAAAATTACATCAGAGAGAAGTTAAATGCGCTCATTTTCAGTTTATTTGGACCCAAGAAATGTAGGAAAAACGAATGTAAATTTGGCAGGAGCACCTGTGTCTGTTTGACGTGTCATGTAAGCAATGTTACAATCCGGTCAAAAAAAAAAATTGAGGATAAATTGCTAATTCCCCTCAAATCCAGGTGAACAAATATGTAGATTTATTGTATTATGCTTTTACTCCTTGTGTAGTTAATAACAAAATATATACTACGTGTTTTTGGTTGTTTTGGTTTAAACAAAGTTGTCTGTGATACAGTGTGAAAGCCCCTGTCCATAGGGCAGTGTAAACAAAGCAGCAACAAAACGCTAGCCCAGACTGTCATGCAGTGTGAAAACAATAGAGGTAAAGTTGGTTTTATATTTGCATATTCGGACTTTGCCCTTAATAATATAATTTCATGAAATAATTATTTGGAAACTCTAAACAGCGAAATCATATTAGCAGCCAATGACATCAAAGTACAACATTGTTCACAAATAATCAGTGTAATGTTGTTTTCAAGTCATACTTGCATGCTAATTCCGATCGAATATTCAAAGTAACATGGTAAACAATATAGAGACTTCTAAATAAACAAATATGCAAATATAAAACTAACTTTACCTCTATGTAAAAACATTGGTGACTTGACTACTTTGAAAATTATGCCGTGAACTCAGCATTACAGGTTTTGTTTTGGACATTAAAGATATAAAGCTATTCCAAGTTGGTAAATGATGGATTATGTCTGTTTAAAACTGTGACAAGCACTTTCACTTTCGTTTCTGAAGGGTGATGTTTTGCCGAAAACTGTGACCAGGGGGCGCTGTTCTGTGAAATACTCTCTCGGGAACGCCCAGGTCGCTCATGCACGCGATCGTTAACGCGCACTCGCGCAGATAAGTAATCCACGTCGAGCAGTGCTGTAAAGCATGTAAAATGCCAGATTCAGCAAACATGTTCATACTGAAAAACATATGAAATATATTGGAGAACTTTGATTTACTGAACTATGACTCCTGATCACAGATTTCATCTCAATGGTCACACCCTATACTTTACAGTCTACGGTCACACGAGTTCAGTAAAAACATCCGTCGCAAACACTCTGAAAAGAGTAGAAAGGGACATGCGGGGGCCAAAAGTACATGTGGGATTTACATTCAATCAAATGACATGCAGACGGTTACATGCATGACTTTACCTAAAGCAGTATTAACGCTGGATGTGGAGCAGAAAGTTTAGACGCTACGCACCACTTCTTCTTCTGGCTGTGCGTTGAGTCAGAGAGCAGAGTAAAACTGCACACCGCCACCTGCTGTATTGGAGAGAATAACATCCTTCAATGTGGATTTCCCTGAATATAAAATGACTGCTTTCACTGCCTTCTTAAATTACCTAAGGTATTTCAGTTCCTACATAATGTAAGGATACATTTATTGAGTTTATACTTTCCTTGTGTTTTCTTCATTTTTTTTCTGCAGGAACCTGCT